CCTTTAGTATAGTAAATACTGAATTTAAGCGTTGGCCAGAGAATAGGTATTGTTAATAATCTCAGTTGTGCAATCCTATAAACAGCAATAGAGAACCAATCCATGAAGTATAAAAGTATTATGGTTAATAAGTTTTTGCAATCCTTCAAAAAAATCTAATATTTTAAAACTATGAATTTTTATTATTTAATATATATTTACAAAGATTTTTTTGCATTCATTTCTTTAAAGTTAATAGAATCCTATATATTTTTGAATATTTTCTTATATTATTATTATTTCATTCAGCATTCTCTGTATACTATAATTTTCTTTACATTTAATCCAAAAATTCATAAATTGTTCCCTAGCATGATGTGATTTTATAGTTTGGAACTTAAAAATTAGGTTTACAGTTACATCTCTTAAAAAAAATATTAATAGATTGTCATAAAAAGCAAAATTGAAACTTTAGAATTTAGTTTGCTCGCTAAATACAAAAGTATCATTAATGAATGCAATGACAATGCTGATAGAACTTTTGCAAGATAAAAAATAAACAATAGGCCATTAGATTTTCCTCTAAAAATAAATTAACTTTGTAAAGTTTACATATTTGTATTTCCGATGGGGAATATGCTTGTAAATGTAGTTTCAAAATCAGAATCAGGAATAGGCTACTTTATAATTAATAACTTAAAATTAGGCTATTCTATAAAGATATATCGGAAGTATTCCTAGTTCAAAAATATTAACACTTAAAAATATCTAATTGAGTTTGGAAAAAGTTATTTATTTAAAAGTTACAATAATTGAGACTACTTTCTTTGAATCAAAGTGTTAATAGTTTATGATTAAAGAATTGCAAGCCGAACATTTGATAAAAGATGCTTATAATTTAAAGTCAGTAAATTATTGGACATTGAACTAACCTTAATCAGATAAACACCTTTATAGTTCTAGTTTTTGAAAAACCTTACTTTACAAAAAATTAATTGTAATTTTATTAAATAATTTTGATAATTAAGATGAAGAGAATTATTCTAATTCAGAATATATAAAATAGATATATTGAGTATCGAATGAGATTGATAGATCTAGAAAGTATTAGCATGAGGCATAGGTTTATTAGAGGAATTATTAGTAGAATTTAATTTCATAATTAAATTTAAGAAATACACCTTCATGGCAAATTATAAAATATAAATCTTGGAGTAGAGCAAACGCTTTTAATAGTTGATAGTGTTTTAATCAATTTAAAATATTAATAATGTTAATTGTGGTTCTCAAAAATAATTCCCTCCTAAGAATATTTCTAATGATGATATCTTCAATCTCATATCTTCCTAGATTTTCTTTTCTACATCTTCTATTTCTTCTTCATCTCCTATTATATTCTAATAATAGTATACTCTCATACTCAATATTAATATTGTAATCATCTACAAAATACCAAATATCCTGAATATTCTTTAAATGTTTAAAGCTCAATTTAAAGTGCTAAAATTAATATAATTCTATTCATGATAAAATCAAGAATAGTAATGCAACAAATGAACATACTATCATACTCTTTATTACTATTTAACAATATCTCAATGGATCATTCAAACACATCTATACTATTATTGGCATTATAATATCATCCATTATACTTTATTATCTCAAATAATTTGTCTTTCTCTATTAGAATGTGTAATTCTTATTCTGTTCTATATTATGGCATCTGAACATTCCAATAGATTAAAAATAAAAATGCTATTAATGATATATACAGTAATAATTAACATAAAATTAAAGCAAAAACACTCTAATATTCAAATATGTATCTTTAATTGTTGAAATTTAATCTCTCAATCATTATAAATTGCATTTCACTATTCAATAAACTAAAGAAAAATTCCAATTACAAAATATACACTTATTGTCAATGATATTATAACATTTTTATCCCAAGTAATGTGTGAATATACAATAGAATATTCTCTTTTTTACTTATCAACAAAAGGCAATAATACAATGAACCATTTATTCAAATGAAATCTCAAAAGTATATTTATTATTATAAAAATAAATAATATTTAATATGCAAAATTAAATGAATTTTATTAACATAATTTCTAAACTACTCATATTTGCAATAAACTTGATTACAAATATAAATTAGTAAAAAAGTTATGTGTAAACTAATAACATATTGATTATGTTGATATAATTATTATTTTAATATATATCTCTCTATAAAATTGTAACAACCCTTTCCAAATATATAATTTTTTTTAGGTAATTATTTTTATAAACTAAGATCAGAAGTTGAAACATTGAAAATAAGATATTTAATTATATTATACAATTTAATTCTAGCACATTAAATAAGAATTTTAAAACTTAAAAGAATAGAAATTAATATCACTTTTTGTTAATCAATGGATAAATAGTGAATAATTAAAGTATATTATTGATCATATAGAAATGATTAAAGATGCGAAGAAGGATTATAATTAGTCTAAAGTTAGAGAATAAAACAATTTTGGATGAATTATTCTATTTTGGAAATTAGTATTAATTAGATTAGAAAGTTGAAATTGAATAGGTTCCAGTCCCTGTTAAAGTAGAGCATCTTTAATAATCTCAATATTTAGATAGGAAATCAATTAGATTTAAGATTATTAAAAAAATAAATTTGAAGTAACTAATGTTGTTATTCAATACTATACTTCTAAGTGAAACTAAATCGAAGAAGAAAGAAATTAATAACTCCAATTAATTAAAGAATAATAGGGATATGTGTAAGAATTATTACAAAGAAATGGGTATTCAAATATCAATAATAGGAATTAAATATCTATTTATTAATTGAATCCATAATTACTCAATCATTATTACAAATATTATTATTATTTTATAAAAAAGGACTTTAAGATAGTAATCTTCATTTAATGATATAATGAATTTTACATTAGATTTCTTGTTTTAATAAGAATTCAAAATTTATAAAAGAACAATAGATTTTCTTCTTTTTAATTAATTTTCATTACTTACACTTTTTCATAACCCTTAAATATAATGTTCATTTTCATTCATATATTTGATTTAGTATTATTATAATTAAAACAAGATATGTAGTAGGATAAAAATATGGAATTGACTAATTCTTCTTACAGTTAAATCTAATTTGATAATGACTACAGACTTATAAATATATTAAATTACTTATAAATTTAAAAAATATTGTATTGTGGGCGAATGACTAATATTAAAACAATTTAATATGATATATATTATTTCGAAATTCATTCAAAAATATAAAATTACTCTACATTTGATGTTTTATAATTTCTAAGAAATCTAAATGAGTAAGACTAAATAAATGAAATTGAAAAGGATGTGGAAAAATTATTGAATGAAGAAAGGTGCTTTTAAAAATTCTGTCAGATTGCAAAGGGCATTGTTAATATAAAACAAGATCGAGCGGTATTTCAAGCTTTAAAAGAAGAGGGCTGTATGTTGATCAGCTCTCAGACAAAGGACTAAATGAAGACTACATCTAAGAACTATTCAATTCAACTTAAGGAGGAAATTATAAGCATTTGATATTGTATGGGCCAATCATTTAAAGAATCAAAATAATATAAAATCGTTCAATTTAATCTATAATTTTCAGACTACATAGAAAATGAAACTTGTTTAAGAAAGAAAAAATATATATATATAAATTCTTGCCATAATTTAAATATAAATTTATATATCTGATTATTATAGCATAATAAAGAATATTAATATAATTGAGCATTCATCTAATCAATTTTATTATATTTTGTTTTATGTATAAATCAATGAATTTTATTTCATTAAAAAGAATTCAATCAATAATTGTATCAAATAATTTTAAGGCATAAATTATTAAAAAACTACATCCAACTTTAATTGTGATTATAAATTCCAAAACTCTTAATATCAAATTTTTAATTATATAAAATAAAGAAATCATATAT